CGGGCGCCTCGCACGCGTCTCCCCCGCGATCGCCGCCCGGCGGCCCACCTTTAGCCATTGGCATTTCTACTGCACCGCGTTTTGTCGCGAGATGGATCCATTTTATTTCTATTTGAAATCCCTGCAAAGCCTCTGTGAGGCGCCCGCGGATTGCGGGTACGTCGCGGAGGCGAAGCGGATGCTTTGCGGCCACGTCCTGGAGGAGCTCCACCGCAGCTGTGGGGCTCGGAAAGGCGGCGCAACCGACGAAGACGAAGACGGAGAGGAGGAAGCAGAAGAAGGGGGGGGAGGCGAAAATGAACGGGAGGCGATCGGGTTAGCCACCTCCGCCCCGGCAAACGTGCAGACCGCCGTCGTGTATTTGCTCGATATGCTCCACCGCGACGCCACGGCGACGGCGCCGCGACGACAGATTTATCAGGACGTTCTTGAAGTCCTTCTGCCCGCCTTCGTCGCGGCGAATTTGCAGCTCGCGCTGATGGTGCTCTGCGCGCTGCAGTCCACAATGCGAGGGGTGAAAGGGGTCAAGGCAGTGGAGCTCCTCGGGCTCTGGCGGACGCGCGTCTTGGCGGAGCTCGACCACGGCGAGCGTCGCGCGATGACGGAGGCGACGTTGGATTTTTTTTACGGGATGGACGACTTCTGCAGGCAAACCACCTCGGCGGTGAGCCGCATGGGGTTGGTGCGTTGGATTCGAAGTTACTGTAGCGGAAGCGGCGGAGGGAGAACCAGGGGAGGGGCGATCATGAAGGATCCCTTGGCGCATCCGTCTTCTTCCCCCACCTCCTCTACCGAATTGGGGAGCCCCGCGGGCGCCTCCATCTACGCGGATCTCCCTTTTCCCATTCTGAATCCGTTCAAACCGTGGATTGTATTGCGGTCGGTGTTGCTGACCAGCGTGCGGGCGGAGTCATTGTCGTCGAGCAAGCCGGTGTGGATCACCTTCAGCAGTGCCAACGACGCGCAACGACGAAGCCGCAAAGGGGGGCAAAAGGAAAGTCCCTCCCCCCCATCCGCTCACGAGGAGAAGTTTTATAGTTTTCTGTACAAACGCGAGAGCGCGATGCGGGATCAGCTGATGTGCATCTCCTCCCGTCTGCTGCAGTGGCTTCTGCGAAACGAAATCGGGGATCGGGTGGAGATCGGGAACTATAGTGTCCTCCCGCTCTCCGATCGCTCTGCGTTGATCGAACATTTAGAAGGCTACGCGCTTTCCAAGCTTCCTGGGGTGGCGAATGGGAACTTAGCCTTGGTGACTTACCTCGCGCAGCGTGGGGAGGCCGCGCAGGTGAATTTTCTCGCCTCCGCGAAGCTTTTTTTGCTGTTAAACTACATCTTCAGCATCGGCGACCGGCACCAGGGGAATGTCATGATGAGCCCGGTCGGCGCGATTCTCCACATCGACTTTGGCTACATTTTTTCGGAAAAAACGCTGGTGGAGAAGATCGCGGGGACGACGATGCGGGTGGATAGTCAGCTCCTTTCAGCCGTGGCGTTTTGCCGACGCGCAGCCGCGATGGCGATGACGACGGCGTCGAGCGACCTCCCCAACGACCCCTCGTTGGATTCCTCCGTCGGGAGCGATAATAATTCCCTCGTGATGGATAACGAGGGCTTTTTCAAGGAGGCCGCGGAGTGGTTTCTGCAGGTTCGCCCGCACGCCGCGCTCTTTTACGAGCTCTGGCGCTACGCCGTCCGCTGCCAAACTCTCCCGTTCGACGAACGCAACCTCGCGACGATCTTTAACACGCTTTTTGACCGAAGCGTCTCCCGCGAAAGCAGCGCGGATAACTTCCTCCGTATTATGGAGCACTCTATTAATGTTTGCCGGCTGAAGGACGTTACCCACTCCAGTGTTCAGGCCTTTCGATCCTACACCGATTACGTCACGCGGTGCGTTTCGGAGACGCCGTCAGGGGTGAAAAGGTTTTTTGAATACGTGTGGAGCCATCTTAATCTCTCAAGCATATCCTGAGGGGACCACTTTCTATCTATCTCTGGTAAACAGAAAAGGAGGGTGAGGCAAGTATCATCGTACTGAGGAAAAAATATCATAGGGTTCCTGGATTTTCTTCTTATTCGTCCTGGCGGTGATGGTGTGCCCCACTGCTTTTTACTTATACTTTCTAGCTTTCTCTACCTTTCTCTCAAAACAGAAAAACGTACTGAAGGTTACCCATTAACTGAATAGTATGGATCACTATAAAGATGATTATTGTTATATGTTTGAGTTTGATTTTTTGTGTGTGCTTTGGTTTTTTCCTATAATATATATATTTTCTTAGAAAAAATTCATATTCACAGAGTGTGAAGAGTCCCTAATGTTTTTTCTCCTTGCTCCCACTCGTTTTTGTTAGCCATCGTATTCGTATGTGTATGGGAGATTCATAGATATTCGATAAAACGATTACTTTTCGCTAAACTGGGGGTTAGAATGCTGATAAACCCTTTTATCACCCCACTGCTGTATGTATAGACACTCATACACGAGACGTCCGTCTGCTTTAAAACTATTCTAGGGCAAAGCGATGACAATTCTTGTCAACGTTGTTTTATTCCTTTGTTATCCTTCTCGACTTCCTTTAAAATTGGCTTCGTGATGATTTCGATTTGCGCTACCGTTTTTATTAAAAATCGGAGTGGTATCGTTCTACCTCTTATTCGAATCCATCTCATTTTTTCAGACCCTCCCACATCAGACAAACTAATCGTAGTCCATAATAACCGTGTAGCTATCGACGGACGCAACATACCGCTACACTCACACCCATTGAACGAGGCAATTTGCGTGGTCATTGCGGACATCTTCTCCTGGCTTTCCCTTTTTCGATTTTTGGATTCCCGTCATGAAAGCGAATACCGATTTGTTGTTCGCAACGGTGTGTTTTATCCAAAAAGATGGCTCAAACGAGGCGACGCTGCGGGTTCCCATCGCCGATCCCCTCACCACGACGGTTCGTCGCCTCGCGAAGGATGCGATGCGTCGTTTGGTCGCCATTTCACGCCGAAAGCGCGCGCTCCGGTCGAATCCCGAACTCCACGATTCCCTCCCGAGCAGGGAGGCCTCCTCCACCTCGGGCGTGCCCGCCACCTTGGACTTTCCCTTCACCGGGGTTTCGCGCATCTTTGTGGGGGAATCGCCGGGGGAGGTGGATATTTTCGGCCGCGATCTGGTCTCCCACGTCGTGCGTCTGCGCGAGGAGGTGATTTACATGCGGCTTTCCCACGCGGGCCCCGCGCGGCCGACCCCGGCGGGCCTCCTGTCGGCCGTGGAGGTCTCCCTAGGGGGGTTGCCCTCCGCGACGAACCTCAGCTTTCTTTTCGACTCCGAGCA